TTACCTTTCCACAGAAATTACAGGTGAATTTACTGTGCTGAGAAACTTCTATTTTCTTTATAATTTTTCTCAGGGAAGAACCGTATCTGGTTCCGTATTTGCCAACAATTCCAACCTTTTTTGTACGTCGGGCCTGGGGGGAAAAAATCATTTGAAAGATGAAAGCTACAAATAGTACATTAAATTTAATATATCTGACTGTACTTGCCACTCATTACATTTTGCATAGTCTACATGTATGCCTACTATCAATACAGACCTCGTCAGGAGGCACGAGTCATTACTCATGTGCCCGCTAACCTTGCCTCAAGGCTCAAATGTAATTCGCAAGAGTATTACTTGCGCAAAAATTTATGGATTTTTTTTTTATAGAAATGTACCATTCTTTGTTATAAAGAGGAATACGACCCCAAATAACAAGGATCTTACATTACACTCTACACACGTACATGCATACTAATACTACTTATTTATTTTCACATTCTTTATTAAACTAATCTAGTCACACACATAGTTTTTCTTTTTTGAATTAGAATAAACAAGCCAACAGTGAGGCTGATGTCCCCCGCCGAAATCCCAAAATAAATAGATGACACATATTCATTAATCGCACATATATTTTTTTTCAAAAGTATAAAGCAATCAAACAAATTGTCACCTATATACTAAGTTTCATCACTCTCTATCAGATAGAATCAAAGTTATCTTGTCCCAAAGCATCAACCAATGAAATTCCTTAGCTCTGCTTAGCTTTAGCTCGAAATGTTAATAATTGAACACAGTCAAGACAGTCACCTAATGAACATCTAAATCAAGTTTAAACATTCTACCTCAATTAAAAGCAGAGTTATGTTCAAAAGTCTTGACCAATCAAATTGCTTATCGATCCTTAGCCTAAGCAGAAAATTCTCATCAACATACTTAGTCAAGGTCATGCTACAATGAATCTATACTCAAAGTTTCATCACTCTCACTTAATTAAAACCAAAGTTACCATGCCTCAAAGCATCAACCAATCAGATTGCTTATCTCTGCTGACTGTAAGCAGATGTTTATTATCGAACTCCATCAAGGCAGTCACCTAATGAACGCCTACACCAAGTATGAACATTCTACCTCAATTAGGACTCAACCAATCAAATTGCTTATTGCTCTGCTTGCCCATAAGCAGAAAATGCTTATTTATGGAACTTACTCAAGGTATTGATGAGATAAAACTATACACAAAGTGTCCCCACTCTCACTTAATTAGAACTAAAGTTATCGTGTCCCAGAGCATCAACCAATCAAATTGCTTATCTCTGCTTACCCTAAGCAGTAAATGCTCAAATGCTCATCTTCGAGCTCTATCAAGACATTCACCTAATAAACACTTACACCAAGTTTGAACATTCTAGCTCAATTAGAAGGAGAGTTAATGTGTTCCAAAGTCTCAGCCAATCAAACTGCTTATCGCTCTGCTTACCCATACATGCCAACCCGAGGAGATTGAAAATCAGAATGCCTTGTATTGAGGGTAGAGTGAGGTCGCAGGTCCAAGTTCGTTGGATGCGAAGCACCGTGAGCGCTGGAGGCGGCGCCCGCCGCAGGCTTGAAGGGCGTGGGGTCCGCCTAAGTGCCCCATGAAAATTTTGAGAAATTAGCACCTATTTAAAGCAGTACCTTGTATTATTGAATAAAAACAGCTGGTGATTTAGGTCCATGCATCTGGGTTTTTTTTTACCTATTTATATACGAAAGTATGCATATATGCTTTTGTTCATTTACATGTAGGCATGACCTAAATTTGTTGTTAAGTGAAGATAATAGCAACACATAAATCACTCCTACAGACTAAACAAAATGCGAATTCGTCGCCTCTACGCGAGGACGTAATGGTTCCTGGAAATTCTTTGCCGTAAGTTTTCCAGTATTTTTGTCTGACATTTGTTTTGGAAGCCATTTTGTTTGTCTTGACTACCGACACGGAAGTAGAAGTAGTAAATTATTTATACTGGGTTTTATTTATAATTGTAATTTGTTTTTTTCACACATGGAAAACAGCTTGAAAACATTTTTTATCAAGTCAGAAGGAAATATGGCTAAGGAAGAAGCAACAACGTTACTGGAAACTAACGGTAAACCCACCGTGTACTGTACGAGTGTATGCGAGAATGGCTCCGCGTAGCAAATAATACCTGCGAAGCAAATAATATCCGCGAAGTATGCAAATTAGGCACGGCCTATGACATTTTAATCTCGATTAGTCCATTTTATATTAATAATAATCGAGAAAACTGGAGACATGTTTTTGGCTATTTCCGTCGTTTTACCGTGAATTATGCAAATTAGACACGACAAATGACGGAAATAACCACATGACAGTCCAGACATATAGCTTATTCCATTTTATATTAATAATAATAAGGAAAACATGACACATGTTCTCGACTATTTTCGTCGTTTTACCGACAAAATCGGAATAGTTGGCATGTATGCTTACCCTGAGCAGAAAATGCTCATTATCGAACTTAGTCAAGGTATTGATGTAATGAAACTATACAACAAGTTTCATCGAAAGGTGGGGGACAATAAAAGTTCAAATATCAATTACTAATATTACAAGACAGGGTTGTAAAAATCCACTAGCCCGACGCCCGGGGCTACCAAAAATAACTTACGGGCTAGTGATCTATTTAGCCGTACTAGTCCTGGGCTAGTGCCCTTGTGAATTAAACTAGTGACGATATAGATAAATAAACTGTAAAATATCCCACATTTATTTCTCAAATTCCAAGGAAAACTCAATCATAACAATAGATTTTCTGTAGTAAAACTTAGAGCGGTATGGACATTTTTTGTACCCCTTCTATTCATTCATTCTTTCTTAGCATTTCATTTCTCCATCTTGCACGCTTTGACAGGTCATGTATAAACCAGTTGAAATCAGGTTGATTTAAAAACAAAAGACTCACTTATACTTTATATTAGAATAGTTCAGACATAAATATTTGAAAGCATACCTTTGTATTTTTAAATACAAGATAATTTTGATTATTTAACATGTCAGGTATTTCCATAAAATTTACTACACGTGTTCGTTACACACACGTCATGATGGATGGTCCAGTGACCTCTGTGTGTCGTCAACTAGACAGCTGTCCTTGTCAGGCTCTCCGTCCTGCATCACTGACAAGGGGGAACCACGCCGGAAAATCTGGATGAACTTTCTCGGCCAATGCAGGGATCAAACACCCGACCTCCAGGCTAGCGAGCCAGCTGGGCTAGTGGATTCAAAAATTTTTTTTACACCCCTGTTATACAAGAGGACTCTGACAACAAATGAGGACTTTGATAACTTGAACAAATGACGAGGTTTACTTCCTGGGAAGAACAATGGAAAATGAAGTCTTATAATTATATCTTTGGTACCGGTAAGTTAAAGGAGCTAAATCGCTAATATTTTGGACCTAGAAATTGGCACAAATGGGTCGCAACACATATAATAATGTAATATGAATTTATATAAACTGATTTACATTCAATCGTGTCCGTTTTACTGTGAATTGTCATCAGTTATGTTCGGCGAAATACGCCAGAAGTCTCAACCGCAAGTCAGTTTCTAGCGTCTGGTTATTCCAGTCAACACCAATATTATTTATTGTGCATGCTCTCCAAATACGAATATGATATCACCGTTTGACATGACTTGTGGAATATGTCTTGCCTCATTCTTTGAGCACCTTGTTACAAATGGCGCTGAAATGCATTATGGTACACGATTTGTGTACCAATGGTAAAATGTTTATTTTGTCTTAAATATTGGATATCAGAAGCCCATCTTTTCCCGGTAAGATCACAACATCAATGTTGATTTAAATTGACAAATAATTTGTGTTTTCAATGTCGAAGAGTTTGGATGAATCTGAGTTAGAGACTTAGCTACTTTAATTAATCAGAGTCTACATCTAGCTGCAATTTACCCGAGTTCTTAGTCTCTAACTATTCTAATTTCACTCTTACTTAGGAAAATATTGCTTGAGTTAGAGACTTAGCTACTTTAATTAATCAGAGTCTACATCTAGCTGCAATTTACCCGAGTTCTTAGTCTCTAACTATTCTAATTTCACTCTTACTTAGGAAAATTTTGCTTGAGAAAGTCAGTTAGGGCCTACTCGCTAAACACACACGCATAGGTATTAGGTAAGTTATGGAGTAGGCCAACTCATCATGATATGGACATGGTGTTTGTTTGTGGCAAGCACCCGATATACCGGTACAACGATAATATTGTAATCTGACAAAGAAAACAATTCTATGATTCATATAGTGACAAATATAAAATCTGTACAGGTCATTTGGAAAGTTGCATGATGTCAATGAATTTGATGGATCTACAATTTGGGCTATGAATGCTGTGACGTCATCGTGGCTAATTTTCCTCGATGGCGTCAAAAATCCGGACACGTATTACAAAACACTAATTTGTAAGCAGATGTCTCTACTTAAAATTATAATGATTTATATGGTATGAATCAGAATTGAATTAGCCTTTCAATGGTGTTATTTATATTTTGGTACGCTAATTACCTGCCGAGAAATCGTCCGTTGAAAAGCGTATACGGCTTATCGAGGGATTTTCTCGCCGTAAAATTTTGTGGCACACAGATTTTTACGATTTTCGATTTTTGTATGCTATTTTTAGTCATTTCGTAGCTAATGGGGATGCATCGCAGAACCAAATTTCCTGTCCAATCAAAAAGAGGAAATCCTAAAATTATTTATACCGTTTGCGCCCGATTTCTAACCGAATTAGAAGCCAAGATATGCCAAATTGAAGGGAAAAATTGCTTTTTAATAATATTTAGAAAAGAAAATTTTTACACGCGCACGCGGATTTGTGAAAACGAATATGTTTTCTACAAACTACAAAAAAAATTATTCTAAAATATTAATAAATAGCTACAAAGCTAATATGTGAGTGAGGGCTAGTCCTCAATTATCAAGACAAAATCCAGGGGGGCGTGGCCGCGCTACGTATCTTCGCGAGATTTTCAAGGACGTATCCACAGAAGAAGATTGTGGAGCATTATGTAAGTTTTCAAATGTAGAATTCGTCTTAATCTAACTTAATCGCAAAACGATGTTGGAAATTCATTTCTCCACTTTATAAAACAGTTCCTATTGCGTTTCTGCAATGGCTGTTGGTGACAAACGGTAAACCAGCATGTCTCATTCGAAATGCAGGAGCCGTTAGAAGTTGATGTAGTCCTATTCATCCAGTTTATGACGTGTATGTCTGTCTACAGTAAAACAAATAAAAACGTCTGGATGGTACAGTCTTCTGCTTCAATCAGCAGTTGTCATTGTTTTGTAATGTATGCCTATCTTAGTAGCTAGTTTGATTTTGATCAATGCTTCAATATTTTTTTTTGTTTTTTTTTTTTTAGCTATAGAAGTCTTGATCTTGTCACTGTCAGTTTTCTCGTTTAATTCTTGTTGATGCTGGTAAGTTTACTTATAGGTAGGTCTTCTTAAAATAGCAGCATTGATTGAATGAAAATTTTAATGTTTTAAAGTCTAATTTAAATTAATTTTAATTAGACATTAAAATTTTCATTCAAATTTGAATCAAAATATAAAATAAAAAATCAGTACGACAGAAGACTAAATTATCTACTGTCTTTTGATTTTGATCAATACAATTAAAAGACATGTTAAAATATTTTTTTTTTTTTTTTTAGCTATAGACTATAGAAGTCTTGATCTTGTCACTGTCAGTTTTCTCGTTTAATTGTTGATGCTGGTAAATTTACTTACAGGTTGGCCTACTTAAAATAGCATCATTGATTGAATGAAAATTTTAATTTTAATTAGATTTTACATAAAAAATTTTCATAAAATAAAAAAAATCAGTAGGCCTACGCCAGAGAACTAAGTCATCTACCTACGTAGTAGGCTACCTATTTATAGTACGCGTAAAGACGTTAGCAGCAGACTTACACTTAGCAATATTTTAGTAGGCCTATTATGTATCTGCATACATGTATGTGGGGAGTATTGTTGAGCCGGAAAATTTCTCAAAATCTCCCAGTCTTACCTTAAGTGTTTGTGAATCTCAGAGAAAAGCAATTAACCGTCTTTTGTATGATTGTTTCATGTCTTTTTTTTTTTTTTTTTTCAGAAATATTCTGCATCCTGCCTGATGATCCTTTTGATGGACAAAATCCATTTTAATGACAAAGGAATGAAAAAATACTATCATAGCAATCGTCGTGTGTGTTTATCTTCATAATTGTTCCTTATATCGTGTGTTATTGTAATAGGTTTCTTGTGTGTGTTGTCTTTGCAACTGTTGTCCTGTTTAAATCTGCCGAGGCCGGTCCCATGCAAGCACGAGCTGTGAAAGAAGGAGGGTTGAGAATAGGCTACAAAAACCTACAACGTAAAACAACATTTTGTGGCCGTAAAAACCCCACCAAAATAAACAGTAAAACTAAAAGGATATATTGCAATTACTTAAGTGAACATACCGTCATTCCGAGTATCGATTGGGCGTGCGTTGTGCCAATTTTCAGCAAGATCGGATATTTTGTCCAGGTATTATGCATTATTATTATGTGCTTCTGATCCATTGTTAATTCCTGAATTTTGTGCCATTGACCCCTGTGACCTTTCAGTCTATTTTAAATTGCTTGAGACTTTCTCTATAAGAGTCTATATAAAATTTTAGACAAAAAGTACCCCGATTCACCGAACATAAATGTCCATATCTTGGCTTCTAATAAAGATATCTCCAATCTGTAAACAGTTTTATGCTATTTAAATGTAGCTTTATCAAATAGGCTTATTTGTAAATAAATCCATTAATAAATCAATTTTGCATTCATAGCCCTACTACAATTACAAACAACTTACAAGACTCATCTCTCAGTTACAGTGTTATTCTGTGGTCTTAAGTGACAAGATTGGGCCAGAATTACCTTTCATTTATCAAATTATTGATAACATTGCCTGAAATAAAGCAGCCATTTCTACTCTGTCAACTGCAATAGATTCTACTTCAAACTTGGATTATTCCAAAAACTATACGCAGAAAATGATCAATCAACACTGCATCACAAATTTTATATCAATAACAGAAGCGAACATCAAAATATTTGGTCCTAGGAGCATATAAAAGATTTAATTCAATAAATATAGATACAAAATTTCTTTACTGGACAGGATTATTGAGAATTTTAAGGATTTTATAATAGAAGGGTATTTTCATACCATGTTTGTGTTTGGAAGTTGACGGAAAAGGAAGTGGAAGAGTTGCCTCGCGTGGAGTTATGGGTATAAACCAGTTCGCACTATTATTTTTATTTGCATGTGAAAGGATTTTTCGGCACACACATTTCAGTAGATAAAATTATATTGAATTCGCTCTTTTTGATATTTAACTAATTTGATTTCAGAAGGATATTATTATTCTTTATTCAGAGAGTATTTGCGTTCAGAATTAATGACGAACTGTTATACAGAAAATTGTTTCGGTCAAAATGACTCATTAAGAAATTTGTAATGGACAAACTATCTTTCAGTATTGCACGAGGTTGAGAAGTCGTATGCCTGTTACGTATTTAGTAGGCTACTAATTTATAACATTCATTGATTGGCACCTTTTCTTTCATTCCAAAAACAGACTCGAATTTTACAGGTATAAATTTAGTAATTTTTAATATGAAATTATCAATTGAAGTAACGAGACATTACTGACTGTCTATGTAATATTAATATGTAACAGGCATTGCCTGAGTAGAGCGAAGTTGATTATTGTCAAATATAAAACCTTCATAATTAATTTTCTCAAGTGATACAAAAAATGTTAAATAATTTAGTTTTTCCAAATTGATTTTCATTTAGATCTTAATTGTATACATTAATTTTGTTTTTTAAAAAAGAACAAAAAAGTGTGAGAATTATTTTCATTGACGTCAAAAATATGTGACATCATTGATTAGGGGCGTCATAGAAATAGTTCTATGAGGCGCGTAATCTCGCTTGGGCGAGATTTGGTAAGTTGACATTCGCATTGCCTGTTTTGCCCAGTGTATTCGGTTCCGGTCTGAATTTTTTTTTAATCAACAGTCTGTGGGTGACAATTTCAGTTACGCTCCTGTGTTACCGGAAAAGAGCTTTGCTCAAGCACCGCGCTTCGCGCGATGGTGTAGAGCTTCGCTCTATATTACTAAATTTATAGGCAATACAACTTTCACTTTTTAAATGTAATCATTACAATAGAGGCAAAAGTTAATATCCAATTGACTTTAAATTTATACACAGTGTTTACGGTCATGAGACGAAGAGGCCTGTTGATTTTCAGCGATCTCCGATAGTTACTGGCAGAGTTATGGCCCTTGATAACTTTGAAAAATCTTGTGGACGCACTAGTAGTCTAGAGGCAGTCATGAAACGAGGAAGCCTATTGATTTTCAACGATATCCAATAACTACTGCCATAGATGGCCCTTGTTGAAATATCTTGTGAACGCCCTAGAGGCTAAAGTTAATATCTGATTGACTTCAGATTTATACACAGGGTTTAAGGTCACAAGATGAAGAAGCCCAGTGATTTTCAATGATTTCCGATAATTACTACCAGAGTTATGGCCCTTGATTACTTTCAAAAATCTTGTGGACGCTCTAGAGGCTAAAGTTAATATCCAATTGACTTGAAATTTATACAGTGTTTAAGCCATTTAAGGGCATGAGGTGAAGACGTCTATTGATTTTCAACAATTCCCGATAATTACTGCTAGAGTTATGGCCCTTGATCACTTTGAAATATCTTGTGGACGCTCTAGAGGCTAAAGTTAATATCCGATTGACTTGAATTTTCTACAGACAGACGGACGGACAAACTTATTTAATAGTCCCCTGCTTTCTTAGAAAGGCGGGGGACAAAAATTAAGTTTGCCAGGTGAAACTAGAGGCATCCAATCCTACCTAAAACAAGACGAAGAAGCCCAGAGATTTTCAATGATTTCCAACAATTACTACCAGAGCTATGGCCCTTGATCACTTTGAAAAATCTTGTGGATGCTCTAGAGACCAAAGTTATCATCCGATTGACTTTAGATTGATAGAAAGAGTTTAAGGTCTTGAGACGAACAAGTATTGATTTTCAATGAATTTTTATAACTTGAACAGCTAAATCCATCCATGATATTTTAAAAATGTTTCGTATACTAAACGTTAGCATGGGGCAGAACTAAAAGCCAAACAATTTCTAATGATTTTCGGACAATTACTTAATGAGTTGTTACTCTTAATCAGATTTTAGTGTATTATAAATGTTTCATTACTGACAATAGAAAAAATATGCGACAACTCTTGTTGACTGCTCGGACGACTTGACTGCTGTGGGCATATGTTTCGTTGCCTGCCAACCTATTTTTAGCAATGTAATTCATTACCATTACCAATTACATTGAAAGTAATTAATTGCCATTACCCATTAATTTATGGCTATAAGATAAGAGTCCTTTTCTATTGTGAATAAAATGAATAAGGGGTAATTTTTATCAGAATTGATACAGACATTCATAATTACACTAAATTCCATTTTAGTCCTGCGCAACTCGTTTCAGGTTACTTTGATTGGCTGTTGTACACGACATAAAAATTAGCCCTGTCTTCATGACGTAAAGATGTCAAATTTAAAATGCCGGGAAATGCCAGCTATTAAAATTATTAGTATTAACACTTTGATTTAAAAGAGGTTGTTTGTACCCATGTCAGATGGAGGATTTTATTCTTAATTGTAGCCGAATGGGTGTGGCAGAAATGTTATAAATAACAATAATCAATCATTGTTATGAAGAAAAAATTGTCAGGTTTGCCTATTGAAAGCCCGATCTGATCTGCAATGTGCTTGCCAGGTGGATCCAAAAAGTACCATCTCATATCTTGAAACACGAAGGGTTGAGAGATGAGGTTTCTTATCTACATGTAAATTACTATGGAGCTATCTACAAGAACCTACCTAAACCTGATGAAATAGCCAACTGTGATGCGTTTGTTTTAGGTAGGATTGGATGCCTCTAGTTTCACCTGGCAAACTTAATTTTTCAGTGAATTGAATTTGTGTCAAGATATACTGAATTTCCTTATTAAATGCTAAAATTTGCAATCTGGTTAAAACACAGATACTATTTCGTTCGTTTTTATAGTTCAAAATTTCGTTTTACTTGTCTTTTCTACACTTGGATCTGGAAGAATTGTTATTTAACTCGTGTTCTGAATGGTGTCAGGGATAAGCCAATGAAACGGTCTGTTACGGCGAGCTTTAAGCCTTTAGGTGTGTTTTTCATGGAACTGTGGGTAATCCACTAGTAACATCAATGCTGATTGGTTAATCAAATGTCTTACGTCATAGGGTCATATGTCGGTCTTTTGACCCCTGACGTGACCTATTGCTTTAACTTGTCAGATTTTCATGTAGTGTAGGCCATCGAAAGTATAAAAAACGAAACGAAATATAGATCTGTATTTTGATCAGATTGCTAAAATTTGAGGCTTGTCATAGGTAAAAATAAAGTAAAAAAGTTAAATACTAATCAGACCACAATTTGAAGTAGCTCTGATATCCTTCCGTCTCTATACCATGAAAATTCATCAAAACCTGGCAGAAATTATGAGAGTTGGGATTATGAAAGTATTTTGTGGCCTGCATCCAAAAATAAGAGTTTAAAATAGAGTTATTTCCCCTTTCTTCATCAATTGTAACTTTTCATTCTTGATCAGGTAATAGTAAATTGTAATAAATCTATAAAAAGTTATTTATAACATTTTCAATGCATATATTTTAGGTAGCTATAAATTAAACTTATAAAGATTTGATGGGAATCCCAAACAATAATTATGAAATATACTATTCAAAAAAAGTAGGGGATATTTGATTTTGGGGGCATAATACTAAAATATGCAAATGACTACGAAAAAAGTCACTATAGAACCTAACAGAAGAAACATTTCCAGTTACATGTGACGCCCAAACGCACCAATAGCTACCGCGTGGAATGCAGGTGATGCTTGGGATCATCATGGGGGTCCAACCCAAGATTTGCACGACTCTGACTTTGAATGTTACAGTCATTGTGGCATTGAATTCCAGGGTGGAAACATCAGTTTAATTGTTTTAGTGACCAGAAAACAAATTTTGATATGCGTCGGCTTACCCAAAATGAAAGGTTACGTGCCCTTGGCATGCTACAGATCGGCACAACACAGGCGGTTGTGGCGCGGACGATGAATGTTTCTCAGTCTGTCATAAGCAGGCTATGGTCCAGATACCGTGATACACAATCTGTACAGGACAGACCACGCTCAGGTCGACCAAGGGCGACAACTCAAGCCCAGGATCGATTTATCCGTACCTTGGCCTTGAGAAATCGTGTCATCACAGCAAATCAGATCAGCGCTCGTCTTCAAACAGACACTGGTGTGAGAGTGAGTGGCCAGACGATTCGGAATCGACTGCATAGGGGTCACCTTCGCGCCCGACGTCCTCGCGTGATCCCTTGTTTGAGAGATCATCACATTCAGGCAAGACGTCGTTGGTGTAGGGATCGTCAACACTGGGATAATCGACGCTGGAGCAATGTGATGTTTTCAGATGAGTCAAGGTTCACTGTTGATTTTTTGGACAGACGTAGGAGGGTGTGGCGTCGTCGAAACGAGCGCTTCCAAGACGTTAACGTCATCAGACATGATCGATTTGGGGGTGGTTCTGTTATGGTGTGGGGAGGCATCACTGTTGCTGGAAGAACGGCTTTACATGTTGTTGCAGGGCGTGTTACAGGCCAGTACTACCGGGACAACATCTTGGCAGTCCATGTTGTGCCGTTCGCACGACGTCATGGCCGCCGTTTCATTTTCCAGGATGACAACGCAAGATGTCACAGGGCCAGGATCGTTACAGGTTACCTCCAACAACAGAACATCACCTCATTACCTTGGCCAGCACTGAGTCCCGACCACTCCCCCATCGAGCATGTCTGGGACATACTTGGACAGAGGTTACGTCAACGTCAACAACGTCCTGCCAATGTCCAAGAACTTGCTGCTGCGTTGCAACAGGAATGGGACAATCTGGACCAAAATGACCTTAGACGTCTCATTAGGAGTATGCCACGTCGGATCAATGCTTGTTTGGCAAACAGAGGAGGATTTACCCGTTACTGACTTGGTTGTGATGCTCTGGTAACTTTGCTGTTTGACCCCGCGTATCATTTTACCCTTATAATGGTCAGTCTGTGCCTTACTTAGTCTAACGATCATTTGGAATAAATCGATGAATGTGAACTTCATTTCATTTTGTCATTTGTTTCTTCGTCAGTTTCATTAGGTGACTTTAATAACACTTAAAAATCAAATATCCCCTACTTTTTTTGAATAGTATATGTAGCTTAGTTGATAATGTACAGAAAAGATAACACTACCTTGAGTTTCGTGTCATGTAGAGTACCGATAAGGAAAATTTTGTCCTGGCTACTCCTATTTCATTTCCAAAGCTGTCAGCACTTTTCTTTTGCCAAGATCTGCAACCAGCAAAGCTAACGACGAGAAACAAGACTGGAACATTATGGTTCAATACTGGGATCGAAATTGGGACCTCCCTGTAAGAGAGCCAGAACCATACTCATTGAGTTACTTACGGTGGCTCCCTTTTTCAAATGAAAACAGCTCTCAGTAAATAGGAGTAGATTCTGGGAGCGAGGTTTAGGTTGTGATCATCATTGCATTTTACGACTTAATCAATGCTAAAATGTTCTCTAAATTGATTACTTAAAGGAGCTAAATTGCTAAGATTTGGGACCTAGAAATTGAAACAAATGGGTCGCAACGCATATAATAATGAAATATGAATGTGTATAAACTGATTTACATTCAGTCGTTTCTGTTACTGTAATTTCTAATCAGTTATGTTCGGCAAAATACGCCAGAAGTGTCAGTTGAATGGCAATCTCTAGCATCTGGTTATTCCAGTCTACACTGATAGTATTTATTGGACATGCTCTCCAGATAAGAATATGGCATCACCGTTTGACATGACTTGTGGAATATGTCTAGCCTCGTTCTTCTAGTCCCTTGTTACAAATGGCACTGAAACACATCATGGTACACGAATCGTGTACCAATGGTAAAATGTTTATTTTGTCTTAAATATTGGATATCAGAAGCCCATCTTTTCCCAGTAAGATCACAACATCAATGTTGATTTAAATTGACAAATAATTTGTGTTTTCAATGTCGAAGAGTTTGGATGAATTTGAGTTAGAGACTTAGCTACTTTAAGACATACATTAAGAAAATATAATAAAAATATCAACCATGCCTGGATTCAATCCAAATAGGTGACAATGGCTTGTTTTAGCCATATCATGTTGAAATTACCTGCTGAATACTCAACCATTTTAAGACTAATATTCCTTTTAGAGATTCAACTTGGATGATATTGTAATGTGCAAGGTATTTAAAATGGTTTAAATGAAGATCAGAGTCTAAATACACCTAAATTGTTCTTCTTTTAGTCAAGATGTCTGTCTTTACTTGCATATCATGCCGTGTGGCTTTTGCCGACGCCGATCTTCAACGACAACATTATAAGACTGATTGGCATAGATACAACTTAAAACGCAAGGTTGCGGAGCTACCACCAGTCACAGCTGACAATTTCAGACAGAGAGTTCTTGCACAGAAAAGTCAGGTGAGTAGGATTTTGCACAAATTATGTTTAATTATTTTGCTATTTATTCCAGATGCAGACACTGAAATGGCCTTTAAACCGCGACAATGGGGGCCCACAGCATCTCGGTAAGACGTTGGCTCACTAACCTGGGGGTCCCTTGTTCGATCCTTATGTTGACCGTAAATAGTTCATCAGGATCTTCTCATTTCTGGCGTGGTTCCCCCTTGTCGGTGGTGCAGTACTGAGGGCCAGGCAAAGGACATTGTATAGTTATTTAGATTGTACGAAAAAACAAGGTCCTGTGTACACATTGGCAGGTCTGACATGGACAGTTGTCTAGTCATTCGTACGGGACAAAAAATCAAAGTCACGTGTATACATTAATGTGCACGTAAAAGATCCCTTAGCAGTTAGAATTCGATATAACAGTAAGAGTAGGCCATAGCGCAGCTGTCCAAGATAAATTTCCAACATTGCACACTTATTAGCCCATTAAGAGCACAAAAGTAGGACTTTGAACCCTAATTCATTTCATTTCATTTCACCACCGCATTACTTGCAGGTTTTGCACATGCAGAGAACAAGTTAATTAGATAGAAAAAAACAGTACAATAGCTGTAGATCTTCTGCTTTGTAAAGAACTGACATTCCACATTTGATATTGTTGCATAAAATTTTCTTTTTCCATCTCGCAAACATAGCTATCTCCAATACATCTATATTTTGCAACATCCGTATATTCGGGAGGACTTCATCACTTCAGTTATCATGTTTGATCAGATCCTGTGTATATAATTATATAAAATAGTAATCAATTATTATGAAATCCACAATTTATTCTGCTCATACTATAAATAAACTTGCCAGATTGATTGTATGCTATCAATTTCTCTTAGTAAGTCATTATTCTGCTCACTTGTTTATCATTTAAATATCCTTGTGGACAATGTTGATAAACTGTACAACAAAACTGTTAATTAGTTAGTTGGATGGGACAAAAACCAAAGTCCTATGTGCGTTAAAGGGCCCTGGACAGTTGGAATTTGAAATAAGTGTAGCGGTGTCAACAACGCAGGCTGGACAAAATTTCACCCATGACATTAGCTTGGATGGTGCAGAAACATAGGACATTAAGCCCCTTTTCATTTCAGGTGGAAGAGGCAGAAAAGGAAACCGTATCTAGATGTCAGATTTGCAAAAAAAAGTTTAATACCGAAAATGCATACAAAACTCACATTAAGTCCAAAAAACACCAAGAAGCTGAAAAAAATTACAACCCTGATGATCATAATGTTAAATACAATAAAAAGAATTCATTAGACTCTGAGGAACAGATGGAAACTGCTGGAAGCTCAACTTCTGGAACATCGCATACAACAGACAAGAGAGCTAACACTAATAAAGTAGTAGATGTTGCTGGTAGTAGCGTTGATGAAGAGGCTGATATGTCAGATGACGCAGGTAAAGTTGAATATCTGTATTTTGTTGAGATATATGTATTGTAAGCTTTCTCACCATTAGCTAATAATTTTATTGTGTTCATTAGCCCAGTTGGGACAGAAATATTGTTTTAACACATCATGCATTAGTCAGTTAGAATTAAAGTTAAAAGAAATGTGTCTCTCTTAAATTTGGATTAAAAATGAAAGTGTCTGATCAATTTTTATGTGTTGATTTGTATTATTTTTTTTTAAGATATAAATTATGTCGTTAGGTCTTAAAAATGTTACAAATACAGATAGAAAAGACTGATATATCTGATCTTGTGTTCAACGATTGACTTAAATAAAAAGGATCATGACCATTAAATTTAATTGCCCACCTTCATTAGCCCAGTCGGAGCAGAACAATAGTATGTGAACCCCCTTTTATTTCATCATTTGATTTAACTTGTATTATATAATCAACAACTACCAGACTTCAAGTTATACTAGTTACATGTATGGTCAGTATAATAGACACCGGAATAAAATGTCCCAGGTTTGAATCCTGGCCTTCACTTGTCAGCTGTTATGTCTGTTTGTATAATCCTCCAAAAGGGATAAAAAAACAAACCTGAGGTCCATGCATGTACACATACATGAAATGAAATGAAATTGGGTTTAACGTCCTACTGTTCTGCTCCAAACTGGCCGGGCTAACGAAGACGGGCATGAGGGAAATTTTGCCCGGACAGCAGCACTAAGGCCTACTCTTAAATGGAATTCCAACTGTCAAGGGATCTTTTACATGTACACCAATGTGTACACGGGACCTTAGTTTTTCGTCCCATCCGATCGACTAGACAGCTGTCCTTGTCAGGCCTTCCGTCCTGCATCACTGACGAGGGGGAACCACGTCAAAAAATCTGGATGAACTTTCTCGGCCAATGCAGGGATCGAACACCCGACCTCCAGGCTAGTGAGCCAGCGTCTTACCCACATAGCCACTGTGATCCTCATACACATAAACATTAAAAAACCCCATTGACAGTTGAAATCGAAGAAGTGTAAATTGAAATACCATTGTCCATGCAAAATTCTCCTACCTCACATTGCACATAGAATAGCAATTATCATATGTTTGTCTCAAAAGTATTATTTACACAAGATATTAAACCCCATTCCACTCTATTTGTACTACCCAGATTTAAAGCTGATTGTGATAAAACTGGTTGTTTGTGGGATTTGGACAGAAAATTTGTGCAGGACTATTACTATTACCATAGCTTTTATTTTAACACTAATATTGGGTAACTTGATATTGAGCAAGAAAGTCATGAATGTATCAGGGCCAGGGGTATGTGTTGGGGATTTTGAATATTTTATTTTCATTTCTAAAATCAGATCTAATAGAACAATTTGGAATGAAGAGCCCTATTAGATTTGCAGTTTTAGAATCAAAAATATTTAATGCACACCACACAGATTTTTTCAGTTCATAGATTTACTTTTCTTAATAAATTTTTAAAATTAGTTTAGATTTAGCACAGTGGACTTGGATGCTGGTGGGCTTATAGGAAGCTTGCCAAGGCTAAAGATAGAACTTGTTCATGGCAAACCAAATACCTGTCTGAAAATAATGTAAACTAAACCACTGGACATGTATTTCTATTGTTATAGATAGTGATGCGGAGAGTTGGAACAGTGAAGATGGAGAACCGTTACCGATAGAAGAATGTTTATTCTGTACTAATGTTGGTTCTAGTCTTGAGGAAAATGTTAAACATATGACAGTCAACCACAGTTTCTTTATTCCGGATGCTGATTATTTGATAGATTTAGAAGGACTTATTTCATATTTAGGTAATTTATCTGCAAAATTCTTTTTTTATACGCCCACATTTTGATGTGGATGTATATTGTCGTCTCCCCTGTCTGTGTGTCCGTCAACAATTTGTTTGTGGGCACTCTACAGGTCACAATTCTTATCCGATTTTCATGAAATTTGAAATGCATGATTATAATCCAAAGATCTTGTTTCCTTTCGATAATTGCGCATATCGGACCGTAACTTCCTGCATTATGGCCCCTGATTGTACGAAAAATCACGTTTTGTGCTTGTGGACCCTCTAGGGGTCACAATTTTTATCGGATTTTAAAAAGCGTTTTAATGTATCACCATTACACCCTAATGACGGTTGAGTTTGAATTTTGTGAAAATACATAAACCAACCCAAAAAAGTTTTGTAAAGTAGACTATGGTTGTTTGTAAAGTAGACTACGGTTGTTTCTGTAGACTATGGTTGTTTGTAAAATAGACTATAATTAGTGTTTATCTTCAGGTGAGAAAGTGGGTGTGGCTAACATGTGTTTATGGTGTAATACGAGAGGTAAATCTTTCTATTCCAAACAAGCTGCAAAAAATCACATGTTGGATAAAGGTCACAGTAAAATGTTATATGAAGGAGAGTCTGTCTTTGAATATTCTGATTTCTATGATTACAGGTAAGCTTATTTTCACCGAGTTCTATTTTGAAACTTGTAGATAATTTCTCAGCCAATTATATGAAAAATGATGATGGGAAATAGAAGTAACATCATTCACATCAGAACAGTGATAACAAAATCCATTCAGCATCAGACTTTTTTTCAATGATTATTTGAAAACCACAGATTTATTATATCTCTTGGCTGATTGTTTATTTGAAGAAAGATTGTGCTATGGCATCATCTAGTAGCCATTTGGGTTCAAAGGAGCTAAATCGTTAATATTTGGGACCTAGAAATTGACACAATTGTGTCGCAACACATATAATATGAATGAATATAAACTGATTTACATTCAATTTTTCCGTTTTACTCTAATTTCAAATCAGTTATGTTCGGTGAAATACACCATTATGGTATTGGTACACGATTCATGTACCAATGGTAAAATGTTTTTCCCGGTAAAAGATCACAACATCAATGTTGATTTAAATTGACAAATAATTTGTGTTTTCAATGTCGAAGACCTTGAGTGATACTGAGTTAGAGACTTAGCTACTTTAAATAATTTATTTGCTTAAATGTTTGAGCAGAAAGAGTTATCCTGATCATGCTGAAAGAAATGATGAAGATGAACATATGGAATTAGGTGATACACCAGATTTAGTTGGTGATGGATATGAACTTGTTCTTCCTTCAGGTAATACACAAGAAAAATTACTACCTATTATATTAACTCCCAAACATACTAGAAATGGTTTTACAGATGTTCTGGTAACCTTATGCACAAATTAGATGACAGTCTAACTATATGACTTGATATATACTGATTTGAGAAGAGCCGATCACCAGTGACAGAATGGAAATCGGACAATAATTGTGTTATCTGTAATTGCTGATAATCAGTTATATTTAACAATATTGTGACCGATATTCAATTTTATTCTAAGTTGTCTGAATTTGATGTGTGGTTTTCATACGCCCACATTTTCATGTGGACGTATATTGTCGTCGCCCCTGTCCGTCCATCCGTCCACAATTGTTTGTGAACAGTCTACAGGTCACAATTTTTATCCGATTTCAATGAAACTTAAAATATAAGTTTATCACCCTAAGATCTCGGTTCATTTCGATATTGGCATGTATCGGACTGTAACTTCATGGATTATGGCCTCTGATTGTACGAAAAATCACGTTTTAAACTTGTGAACACTGTAGAGGTCACAATTTTTATCCGATTTATTTTAAACTTGAAATGTATGATTATAACCCAAAATCTCGGTTCCTTTCGATATTCGCGCATATCGGACCGTAACTTCCTGAATTATGGCCTCTGATTGTACGAAAAATCACTTTCTTTTTAACTTGTTCTCTATCCATCTCTCGAAAATGTGGGCGTATCCTGCCTGGCAGCCGCTGGTTAGAGTTCCTGCCACCTTCAGAAACACATGTCTGAGTATATCGGCTCATCTGTAATATTGATGTTGACTGAACAGCCAAAAACAACTGAACTTTAACTACATGTATTGAATGCTAATGTTTCATTTTCTATGATTAGTAAAGTATATGAACGTTTTGTGCGTGTGCCACCTCAGGTTTAATATATGAGTAGGAACAATAAAGTAAGTGTTGACTGCGTAAACATCAGAGTTTGAACAAGAACAGGTATTGTTTGTACGATAGAATGCCTGCATATAATCTTGTATTTTTATTTCTCAATAGGTGCCACGATAGGTCACAGATCTTTAGCACGATATTATAAACAAAGATTACGACCAACCAGACCACATCAACACAAAGCTATTATGCCCAGCGTACTTTCACATTATCGTGCTTTGGGTTGGACAGGAGCCACAGGCAAGTGTTAATCTATTGTATTTGAGAGTTTGGTCACATTCCTTCCAAATATTGTTTTTGGAGTTCATCTCGGTTACACAAAGTGTGTGTAAGACACTTGTTATAATATAAATTTACATAATGAATACAAAAGGTATCGGACAATTTGGATGAATGAAACAAAAAAATTCTAAATCTATCTGTGAATAAGATGATGTTAAGATCCATTTGGAAATGTTTATTTCATTACAAATGCAACATGAGGCTGATCATAAAAATCTGTATTTCACCTAATGCCACCCATGTCTGTTGGTCCATCAATAATTGGTTTATGAACACAATAGAGGCTATAGTTAACAGATTGTTTTCAAATTCCATATGAAGCATTGCGGCCATTAGAGGATGATCCCTATCGATATTCAAGATTCTATTGAAGTAGTGTGGTAAAGGGAGGAGGGGATGAACCCTTACGATACACAGCATTCCACGACTTTACATTCTGGAGCTATCCACCTCTGGTTGCCAAAAAACTTGTGAACATGACAGTAGCTATGTATGTTTTTTAACAGAATTATTTTGGTGTGAATCATTCAGGTCATAACAGGACGAACCCAATAATAGATGCTAGTGATAGATGGTACAGTTTTTAACAGAATTTTTTTTTTTCAAGCTTGTGAACATGGTAGAGATCAGATTTCTTGAGAGGTACTTTCCTTATCCAGCTTGATCAACATCCAAGTTTTCCTGTTGGATAAGCTGCTGTCAAGACTGGCTGCCATAATCGTGTAGCTATCTTTAGGATTGTGAAGGAGCTTGTATTTCCAACTGATGTATATACTGATATTTTCCTTATACTGTTATCATCAATTTATAATTTTTATTTTTTATATATTTGTAGGTGCTATGATAGAGAGAAGGAAAAAGGATATAACCTATGTTCAGAAACTACGAAACAAACAAAGCATGCAGTTAGGCCTTAAGGCTAATAAATTATTCAAGAATTACAAACCCCAAAATCCGATCTAAATGCAAAGTTATATTATAAAAATAAATATATGACTATAATATGAGTTGATTTTTCATGCATAGGCTGTTGGAGGTGTGGGATGTGTTGAAGAGTGTGTGTGGGGTGGGGCTGGAGCTGGGAGAGAAAGTGGGGGGTTAAAGCTCATGATTTTGTTATTCTAAAAAGAATGGTCACTGACAGTTTAAAGTATACTGGTGATACAGTTGAAAAGAAAGGAAGGGGTATCCGTGCACAGGCATCAATTGTCGGAAAAGTTGAAATTGTTTAAATAAAATTCTCTACATTTAGTAAGATGGGCCTACAGCACGGCGTTGTTAAGCATGTCTAGTATCACTAATTCTCTCATAAATGTAGATAAAAACGGATATATCATCATCCATTATATTATAGGTGAAGTGAAACCGATAGAATGAGTCTTATATATGGAGCTTTGAGAATGCATATTGAAAACGGTATGATGAAAGTACCACAACTAGTACTTACAGTACTTAACAAAATTACATCACATGGTTGTCCATGTAATCAGTTGTACAAGCAGGGTTGGATAAAGCTGGCATAGGTCCCCTGGCAGAAAACTTTACTGGGGCCCATATTTTCACTTTATAGTGTAAAGATACCATATTCTGGTTATTGTCCCTCACCCTTATACATTGCAATGTGTTATTTATATATTACTAAGTATGGTAGATAGATATATATTTTTTGGACACATACATAAAACTACATAATAAATACAATCATAAAATTATCAATTATAGGCTTTATATCAAAGTGCACATATAAAGAAGGGGTGGGGGCATATTCTGGTCATTGTTATACCCACATAAATGCAATTTGTAGGTTAATATGGTAGATTGAAATGAAATCGGGTTTAACGTCCTAGTGTTCTGCTCCTATACTGGGCTAATGAAGACGGGCATACGCCATACAGTGTGCTATGAGGGAAATTTTGCCCTGGCAGCGGCCCTATCGCCTACTCTATCGAATTCCAACTGCCAAGGGATCTTTTATGTGCATTCCAATGTATACATGGGACCTCGGTTTTTCGTATCATCCGAAGGACTAGATAGCTGTCCTTGTTAGGCCCTCCGTTCTGCACCACTGACAAGGGGAAACCACGCGGGAAAATCCAGATGAACTTTCTCTGCCAATGCAGGGATCGAACACCCGACCTCCAGGCTAGCAAGCCAGCGTCTTAACCACCCAGCCACCATGGTAGATAGAAGTATTTGGCACAAATATATACAACATAATAAATGACGTATTTATTTACGGTACCAATTGTTCTAGACCTAATTTGGTGTCCTATTTAATACTAGGGGCCCCTGGCTGCAACCCAGTCAGCTTCACTGCAGTCCTGCAGTCAACACAGTATGGTTTGAGTAATCAAGACTGACTTCACAACTTTTCTGAGAGAGGGGGTGGGGAGGTTAAGGTCCACTCGAAACGAACTAGGTCCATTTTGAGACTAACATATGATTCAGTTTTAATTCGCTTCCGTGTACGGACGGGTCTTTAGCAGTGGTAGCAAACTGGAGGCCTCGGAAAAACCCCATGAGGTCGGACAGGCGACCCTATCCTTTGTCACTACAAGCGGACAGTCGAAACTACGCCACTTACATCAATGGCAGACCTTGTGATCGAGGGCGAGCGGGGGGTGGGGGGATGCCTTTGCCCTGGTATGCCACATGGTTTTGTGAGGGCCCTGGCCCAACCCACCTATCTGCCCATCCACACCGACGGATTAAGAAAATGTTGACACATGGAATTTCATGCGAGTTTAAGTCTAAACAACCGACATTTAATTTATCGTGTTCTGTTAGCGGTGTCGGTGTCGTTCAACCCATCCATCGGTTGTGCTGGTTATTCATTTGGACGCAAGTGTGGAATTTTTGCCACGGTTGCATAAATTGATTACATTCAGTGACTGATTAGTGATGGCGCACGTGGTGCATCTACGGCAGTGGCCCCTTGGAAAGTTTGAATACAGAAAATCATTTTAAAAAATACAGAAATTATATAAACGTCGGGGTAAAAATTAAATTAGCAAAACACACATCTACAGTTCGTATTTTTCACTATTCAGTGTTAATACATGTTTGGTATCAAGGTTGTGGACCCTCTAGGGGTCACAATTTTGATCCGACTTTGATGAAACTTTAAATTTCTGTTTATATCCCAAAGATCTCGGTTACTGTCGATATTTGCGCATATCGGACTGTAACATCCTGGATTATGGCCCCTGATTGTACGAAAAATCACGTTTTTAGCTTGTGGACTCTCTAGAGGTCACAATCTTGCTTTCTACGATTTTGACGAAAATTAAAATATATCTTTATGTCCCATTTCGATATTCGAGCATTTCAGACCATAACCTCCTGGATTATGGCCCCTGATTGTACGAAAATTCGCTTTTTTATAGCTAGTTTTCTATCCATCTCTTGCAAAATGTGGCCATCGCTGGTTATCCGATTTTGATGAAACTTAAAATATATCTTTATATCCCAAATATTTCAGACCATTTTTCGTTATTCGCGCATTTTAGACCTTAATGTCCCGGATAATAGCCCCTGATTTTTTAAAGCTTGTTCTCTATCTATCTCTTGCAAAATGTGGGCGTATCTTGCCTGGCAATCGCTGGTATATTTATTCACCGTGTTTACGCCTGTATATAATCATTTCGATTGACTTTAGATTGAAACACAGAGTTTAAAGTCTTGAGACGAACAAGTATATTGATTTTCAATGATTTTTGATAACTTGAACAGCTAAATCCATGATATTAAATGTTTTGTATTCTAAACGTTAGCATGGGCCAAACAAATTCTAATGATTTTCTGGTAACTACTTTTAAATGAGTTGTAACTCTTAATCAAATTTTAGTGCATTATAAATGTTTCATTACCGACAAAGGTAATAATATGCGACAACTCTTGTTGGTTGCCGAGGGCGTATGTTTCGTTGCCTGGCAACCTACCTTTAAACATGATGGGACAATTACACGTTGCCACGTAACATTTTTGGCAGACGGGGTAATCATTTCTTACTCTTCATTTCTTCGTTTTCAATTACGTCATATATACTGAGAAGCATGAGAGCACAGCACTATTATAAATGGACGTCTGTAAATCTCGTTTAGGACATACACTTTAATCTTGCAATTTTTAACGTTACAACATCAGACCACAAGGATAACACGTGAACATGATGTTTTTACGATCGAATAAAAGCACCACAGATCAATTCTCTCACACAAAAAACTTTCAATTCGACATAATGGGAATATGGGGTATATAAAAAAAATAGCTGGGGCCAGTACAACTTCTACTGTTAATAGAAGACGTTATAATGTGTCAAATGTTTACACTAGAAGACCAATAACGCGCCATTGCGTTAATTCAAGAAGGCGTGAGTACCAGGGCCAATGGAAGATACACATCACAACAATGAGAGTGGAGAAGGATGCCACAAGCAGCTTTTCATCATTCTCCTCGCAATGTTTTGGTTGATAAGTCCTAATCCCACTTAAAGTAGCTAAGTCTGTAACTGAATATCATCCAAAGTCTTCGACATTAAAAACATAAATTATGCCTTTCGGCGCCATTTGTAACAAGGAACTCGAAGAACGAGGCTAGATATATATTCCACATGTCATGTCAAACGGTGACGTCATTTTCTTATCTGGAGAGCATGTACAATAAATACTATCGGTGTAGACTGGAATATTTTGAAATGAAATGGGGTTTAACGTCCTACTGTTCTGCTCCTTTACTGGGCTAATGAAGACGGGCATACGCCATACAGTGTGCTATGAGGGAAATTTTGCCCGGGCAGCGGCACTATCGCCTACTCTTATATCGAATTCCAACTGCCAAGGGATCTTTTACGTGCATTCCAATGTATACACGGGACCTCCGTTTTTCGTCTCATCCGAAGGACTAGACAGCTGTCCTTGTCAGGCCCTCCGTTCTGCACCACTGACAAGGGGAAACCAAGTCGGAAAATCCAGATGAACTTTCTCGGCCAATGCAGGGATCGAACACCCGACCTCCAGGCTAGCGAGCCAGCGTCTTAACCACCTAGCCACCGTGGCTCCTAGACTGGAATACCCAGAAGCTAGAGATTGCCATTCGAGTGAGACCTCTGGCGCATTTCGCGGAAGATAACTGCTTTGAAATTAGAGTAAAAACAGAAACAAGTAAATCAGTTTACATACATACATACATACATACTACATTATTATATGCGTTGCGACCCATTTGTGTCAATTTATAGCTCCTTTAACACTGCTGGACTGACTAATGATGGGAGCCACGTGGCCCAGAATAAGTAAGACGTTGGCTAGCTAACTCGGACGCCCCCGTATTCCCCCTTGTCAGTTGCACAGGGCGGAGGACCTGGCAAGGTACAGTGTAGGCCTATAGTCGTTCGGACGGAATGAAAAACCGAGGCCCCGCGTACACATTGGCGTGCGTGTAGAATAACCCTTGACAGTTGGAATTCGAAGTTAGAGCTGGTCGTACTGGCGCTGTTCGGGCAAACTTTCCCTCATAGCACACTGTGTAGAGTAAACCCGTCTTCATTAACCCAGTCGGTGCAGACTGATGATTCCTGTCCCAAATAATGACATTATAATCGTTTGTGTGATCTGTGTTGGCACAGTCAACTATAAACGAAACTAAATTATGAAACGATCCGACAGCCACGTTTAATGACATATATTCTGATGGTACGAAAAACCGAGGCCCCGTGTATACATTGGCGTGCACGTAAAGATCCCTTGACAGTTAGAATTCGGTATAAGAGTAGGTCATAGTGCCGCTGCCCTGGCAAAATTTCCCTCATAGCACACACTGTATGGTGTAGGCCCGTCTTCATTAACCCAATATAGGAGCAGAACAGTAGGACGTTAAACCCCATTTCATTTCATTTAATAACATATAGGCTAGCTTGTTCCACCACCAATCAAAATAACATATCATCTCATCCGAATTCACTACTTTATTTTTACCAGATAAATTAATTAGGAAACGAACCA